CCAAATCTTGCTTGTGTTTCCAAATTCCTGTCTTTTCCCTATTTTTTCCTCCTCTCTAGCTGTATCAGTTCACAGCTCAGTTTCTGAATTTTACTTCTGTTTTACTTCCCTCACAATCAAATATACCTATCATCTTTCTTTCCCCTAAAACATTATGAAACATAATTGCCATTATAATTTACATTCCCATCACTTTCCAATGGCAAATACGTTATTTCAAGTTTAATCACTTGTTCTTTGTTTTATTTTGCCATGGTCCAGTCTTTAAGGCACCATACAATACAGCCCCTTGTCCCTTACCTCTTCTCTGTTTTGATTTAGTTTGCTTTTCTAGTGGTTCATCTTTGAATTCCCTCTTACATGCTTTTTGTCTTTGGGTTTTGTTCTAGTCATTGTGTGCAGATTGCCACAACAGAAATTAATTGCATGTAAATTAGCATCCTTTTCAAATATATATCCAGATTGTGTCTGTAATTGTTGTTAGGATATAATAGAATAGAGGGAGAATAGTTCAAATACTTCTAGTTTGCAAATACCATAATTAATGGATAGGTTCCTAGTTAGAGCTCTCTGAACTGCAACTGCAATCCTTATTACTTATTTGTTGATTTCCTATTATTGTTATTACTATTAATAGTAATTACTGCATATCCTTTATATTAAGACTATGTTGGTAAGACTTTTGAGGAAGCTTTAGAAACTCAGAATCTTAAAACTAGATGGAAATATTTATATTTGTATTTGAATAAAATGAATGCTCCTGTTTTGTGTTTAGTGCTCTTAAAAATGCTTTCTAATGCTTTGTATTAATTATTTATGCAGAACAATAGAGTATTCTTCTAATATACATAATTCGGTATGAATTTGAGTGAACATGTTTATTAGGAGTATCAAGAGCTTTTTTTCCATTGATACCTGTCTTCAGTAATGCGTTGAATGAGGAGCAAGATCTGTGTATGTCAAGTACTGAGTAATTCTGATATTGTTGAACTGCAGTATGATCTTCATACACCATGCAATAGTTTAAAATTTATGTCCTGAAATAATAATAAGTATAAAGGCCTAACATTAGGAACTCTGAAAGACATGTAGATGAGATACAACTGATAAAAGTTTTTTCTTACTCAATAAAGTTAGTGTTAATTAAAAACACGTAAGGAAAACATCAAGTGGGGTTCTGGTGGTTTTTTTTAGCTAATCCATTATCTTCCTTTTGATTCAGGAAAATAGTTCCTCTCTCATTTAATTTTTCTGACCCTTTGTAGTGTCTAGAAGGTGTCACATATGTCATTAAAGAAAAACAGCTTCCATGGTGTTAAAGAATCATCACTTTTCATAATTAATGTTGACCTCTAGAATAGTTCATCTGTGCTACAAAATACATTAACTCACCTGCTGGGGGCAGGGGAGGGGGAAAGGACAGTGAACAAAACCAGTCCCCAGTGCCTGAAGCTAGCTTGTGCTAAAGCTGTGTTTCAGCTATTGTGACAAGCAGGTGTGCTCTGAGTCATGAACTGTTTTCACAGGGAAACACGAATTGCCTTCCAAAAGAGTTAACTGTGCTTTCTACAAAATTAGCCCTCGCAGAACAGGATAAGGCACATGCTCCAACTTAGTCCTGTAACTCATGCTGTCTCCAAAAATACTCCGCTACTTCTGGCAATGATTACACCTTGCTTGTATTGTGTTACATAGATTTTATGAATTCTTGTTTATTATTGGATAAAGAATTATTTAAATTAAGCTTTTATGTATATAAAGTTATATTCTCAGATACAATACTTGAAAAACTGTTGCTGAGATTGAGTTACGGAATGTATTAACAGCTACATCAAGGTGCATATGTTTTGCCATCAGTTACTTTGTACATTGCTTCTGTAGTTTTCAGGCTGACGTTTGCATTCCAGCAAGGAACAGCATGATGCTTTGGAACTTGCTGTATTTTTAGCCTGCTGTTTGTCCCTTTGTTTTACCCGTGGAACCATGGAATGTAAATCACATTTAAATCACATTGAAAAGTATGTTTCAAGAACTCCCTTTTCCCCTGCTGATGTAGGGGACTTCACTATGTGTCAGCCATAGTAGTAGCAGTTCCACAATTGAGAACCTTGGCTTAATCTTTTTCTTTCTGAAAACACAGTTAATCAAAATATTGTAGTTGCTTCTGTTTAAAGTTGTAGCTGTTGTTTCTGACAAATACAAACTCTACAGAAAGAAACTTCAGGTTTTTTGTACAAATGAGAGATGCAGTGATGGGTGTCATCTGCATTTCCTTGAAATATTTTTTTTAATGACTTTGAAATAACAAAGATACTTAAACAGAGACATCTGAAGAATGAGAAGCCTTGAAGAATGTAATTCAGGTTTTGTAGGAAGATACAGGTCTCTGTTCAGGCTTCAAGCACAACAGCCCACTGTTTGCACACATATCGTAGCAAACCGTAAATTACAAATTACATTTTTCTAAAGGGTGGAGAGTTGATTTCCAGCAGAAACCTTCAGGTTATTCCATGGCTGTTTCTGTTGAGGATATATTACCATTATTTGTTGAAGAATATAAGTGGATCAGTTAATCATTAAATTCTGATAGTATGACAGGTGTGTAAGTGATGTTCTAAATTTTGTCAAGTGCTTAACATGGGTTGCTTTATCTTTTGTATAGTTTCCATATCTAAAGTCTTAATTAGATATTAGTGGCATTGTTTTCAAAGGGGTTTTATATATCCCAATTCTGAAATTTAATCTTTGGGCTACATCACACTGGTGTAAATCTCTTTCCTGCTGCAAAGAGGAGCTTTACAGTTGTTGTAGCAGTGGATCTTTGACAGGGCAGGTGGATGCACATACCAGTGCTTCTAGATGTACAAAATATGCATTTATTTATGAAGATGCTTTCCCTTTCTTTCTAATTATAGTGTTCTCAGATATTTTATTTATCTTTTTTGCCTGTGCTATCTCTGCTATATATACAGAGGGAGCATTAGGAGTGGCATTAGGAGGTAAACCTATTACTTCAATGTTATTGCTATTATTTCCTTTCACAGAAAAAAAATGCAATATTCAAATTTGGTTTTGCAATAGTTTCAGAAATATAAGAATAACAACAAGATATGCTTGAGTACTGGAAAAAGTCAGCTTGAAAGAAAGAAGTCTTAAGTGCTGTTGTTTGTGATACAGGAGAAGAAATTTGACATGGTAAATGAATGTGATGTTAGATAGTATTGAGCAATTTACAGCAGCAAGTTAATCCTGTAGTCTCAATTAGACATGGAATTGGTGAATTGATACTTTCCTTCACGTGCTTATGAACTAAAATTGGATTATTTTTTTTCATTTATAAGAACATGTAAAACTTGTAATCTATGGAACTACCTTAAACAAGGAAAAAAGTGCCTGTAGACTAGTGATATGTTCAAAGAAAGGAGGCAGTGGACAATAATTGCTTTTTCAAAAATTGCTGCAACTTGTACAACATTTTGATTACACAAATCAAAACTAGATCTGTAAAGAGAAAGCAACTATATCTCACTTCTTTTAGAAAAGGAATATGTATTAAATACTCTTAAGCAACTGCTGTGTAGGTGTATCTAGACATGATTTATGTTTTAATTGAAAATTGGGAAGCATTGTCTAATTTTTAGGATTATACAAAGCAGGCTTTTCATACAAGAGCAAAATACTAGTCCAATGCATTTGAAAAAGTTTCCTCACTTACAAGTGTGTAAATGCTGTAGCAACATCTTTCTGGACAATGGAAGAGCATAAGCAGGAGCTCAATGACAGAGTAACTTTTTTTTCACGTCCTTTTCAGACACAAAAAACCTTATGCTTTGTGGCCATCTAGTGGTGAATCTATTTTAAATACAATAACCTCGTTCAGAATTTTAATAAACCAGTCCTCTAGCTTTGCTGTGCAAAACTGAATTACAGAACAGTTTCTGGGAAGAAATAATTTTGTGCATTTTTTTCTCTCTAGTAGTATTTTTTACAGGAGGATATCATCTTTGAAGGTAATTTGTCCTCTCTAAGACAAAACTATTTTTAATGTTTAGCAGCCAATAATTTTTTTTTTCTTTTTCTTTTTTGTTAATATTCAGGTCCACAGTGGCAAAGTAGTGAATGTATTTCTTAGGAAGAAATGTAAAAATTTTATAAATTTTATCTTTCTGAGATGCAAAGTATTATCTAAATTATCTTTGAAGTATACATCAATTCTGAAAGGAATTCATGTTCCTTAGCATATATGACTCATGAGAAATTTGAGAGACAATATGCTGGCTCTCCTGCTTAACTCCTTGTTAATAAATTGCCTTGGTAATAACATTTTGCTAGTATTTTTCTCTGAGCAATGGTTTTAAAATATGGGAAATTGTTCTGTCACAAGCAGAAGAGATTAATATAAGCATCAGTAGGAAACAGTGTAGAAGAAAAAGCATGGCAAGTCACGTCTTGAATAAGATGGGATGTGGTTTGTGAGACCTGGTAGACTTTAACATCTGCCAAGTCCCTAACAAATGAAAAACTGAGATTCTATTTGAATTAGAGAAATAGTTCAATAAGCATATTAATAGAAGATATAAGCGTTTATATTTTCAGTTTTCACTAGATAATAGCAAAATGCTGAAAATTTGGTGTTCCAGTTGTTTTCTTCTTAACTGGGAAATGGACTATAAATGGTTTTTGTAATAGTTTTGCCTTTAACTTTTGTTTCTCTCATCAAAGGGTCATTTTTTCATATCTGACCATTCCAGCCAGCAGTTTTGTGAATTTTCAGTGTTGACATAGTCTTACATTCTTTTTTTTTTATTATTTTTATAAATGCTGTAGATATTTCTTCTGGTTTATTTGTAGATTTCACGAAGATAAGCATAATACAGATAAGCATAACATAAAATCTATTTAAGCTCACAATCCAGCATGCCACCATCCATCCATTAACATCGAACATTGTATCAGGATGGTATTGGGTTAATGTATGCAATGGTTTGTTTCATTTTCAGGTATTTGGAGTGGATGACAGCCAGGATTATAATAGGCCTGTTATCAACGAGAACCAGAAAGATTTAGTAAAAGATTGGGCTATAAATTCTGCTGCAGTAGTGCTGGAAGAAAAAAGACCACTGAGTACAACTGGATTTCTTGACACTGAGGTAGAATTTAATTTTTGATGGTCTTCTTTTTTCTTCCAATAAGTGAGAGCACTAATAACTGATCAGTAAGTGTTAAATAGCAAACAAAACCTTGCCTAGAAAACATTAGCTCAGATCTGTAAGCACATTATTTTTTCTTAGGCCTTTATTGCAGTATCAAAACTTCTCTGTCAGAGAGAGGCACATTACATTGTGAAAGCGTTTTAAACTTTGCTACCTTTCTATGTGCACTAACACCAGTGTATTGGAAATGTAGCAAGAGCTTTCTTTCAAGACTATATTTGCAATACGCATTTGCACGATATACAGTTCTTGTAAGTTATGCAGCAGAACTGAGGAAAAGTTGGTAATGTTTTATAGCCCGAAGCAAATAACTGTATTAAAATTCAGAAATAAGGTGTATGCATTTAATGTGTGATACAAAATCAGCTAGGAAAAAAATGGTAAATAATATATTTCAGATTTTTTTTCCAAAGCCAGAGGATTTCATGGTTTGAGTTCTGAAGTGAGATGCCATTCATGAGAAGTCACTTCAGTTAGTTGCCTCAGAAGCAGTATAATTTAATCAGCTGGTGAAAAATTAGGGAAAGGAAAATGCCTGTTCTTTTTTACATATGACTCAGAATATGCCCACAAGCTAGATGTTATATCTTGTATTGAAAGATTGGGAGACATTGTGATATCTTCGTAATGGATAAACTGTAGCTTGAAATGTGTTGGGAACAGGATGGGCTCACACTGGAGCAGAATTAATCTGGTAACAGTAACGAAGCACGCTACACTACTGTTTGCAATGGCAAACTGTTTCTAATGCATGATCCTGTAAATTAGCAAAGTTTATAAATATGCAAATGTTCTGGAATGTATTGGAAGCTTGAAGTGTGACTTTGTGTGCCTGCCATGCAAATACATTGATTTTAGTATCTAGAAATCTGTTTCTCCTAGAAAAGAGTGCATCAAGACAGTGAAGCACATAACTATGTTACTGTATCTAGATCAGTATCTTCCAATAGGTTTGTTAGGTTACTGCTTCAAGTAAGTTATTGCTTTGTAGCATGGGCGTATCATGTGGAAGAATTTGACAAACTTTGCTTTGCATGAATCTGTAACCACAATCTTTCTCTTCTTTTTCATGCCTCTTGCAGCTTTTAACTCTTTTGTGTCATACCAGTTTTCAAGATAACTAAAAGTATTTATATTTTTCCATTTCTATGTTTTCAGAAGCAGCAAAATAATGTACTATTTATATTATGAACATAATTGAGCTTTCCAGGTGTCTTATTTTGCAAATAACAGGGTTTGATTTAGAAGACTGAGATTTCTCCTGCAGGGTTTAAGAATCTTTCTGGCAATGGCATTTTTCTAAAACTTGTTTTGATTTAGGCTGGGATTGCAAGAATGATGCATTTTTATTACTGTGGATGTTCTGCTGAATAAAAAGGTCTTCCTGTGTTGGAAAGGGGATGGGTTATTTAGCATAGACTTAATTTACAAGATTATTGCAAGGCATGATAGGGGAAAAATGAAAATTGGTTGGTAAAGAAGCAAAATTGTCATAAACAAAGTGGCTATGGCAAGAATTGTGTAAGAAGAAATGAGGACAGATGAAGATGGAAAAAAGCTTATCAAAGAAAGCAAAAAATAGAAGTTGGTTGATACATATACAGAAATAAGAGAATCTAGTTCAGAAGAATACCGTTTGTTTTGTACTATCATAATGCAAAAATAATGACGAGGATAACTATTGAGAGACAACTGTGATATTTAAAATCTTATTATCAAAACTTACACCTGGTTTTATCATTAGGAAAAGCAGAGACAAATGTGTTTGATTTTTAAAGTATGTGGGTATCATGTTCTCATTGTATACAACCTTTTCTGCTTGTGGTTTTTGGAAGACTTCCTGTATTACTGAGCTGCAGATCCTATGTTAATAAACCTTATTGAATATCTTGGCTAAATAGTCAGCCAGGGTAGCTCAGTGTTCCAGGCTTGCATCCACTCACTTTTTCCAGCCATCCATCACATTTGTACCTAAATATCATTTACCAGAATGAGGTGAGTTCAGAACAATCTAAAGAAGAGAGATTTTGGTTTCAAAGTCGAAAAGATGGCTTGGGAAGTTATGAATGTTTTATAAAAACAATTTTGGGGTTGAAAGATTGTTCTGGACTTAAATATCTTAAATTTACAGGGCTTGTGAAGTATCATGAATAACGTGCTTGAAAAGTATCTAAAAATTTGTTTTCTTACAAAGAAATGCTCAGCTTTTTCTTTGGTGTTATAAGCTTTGGTACTTTGAAGTAGTGTATGTCATGAGACTAAGTAAAATGCAGAGTGAATGTCTGACAGCTGGATTGAGCCTGCATGCACTGGTTCTTGCCTTTTCAATGGTTACAGCTAGACAGTAAGAATACCAAATCCATCTGTTTAAAATATTTAAATATTTCTATTTTCTGTATTATAAGCTGCCACTTGCCAACCAAGGTAAGTGTGACTTAAGAACACCATTAAATAAGATACAGAACAAAGAGAATATTGTTGTTGTTATTCTTTATTCTCTCTATGAGCTTGATTAATCAAAATACTGTAGATATTTGGGCTCTGAGTTAGCAATTTAATTTTCAGTGGTCAGTTATCCATGTTAACCACAGTTCTTAAATAATGTACCTGGTTTATCAACATTGTCTTTGATATACTTCTTAAGGACAAAAGAGTTTCTGGTTTTGGTTGTTTTTTACATTTTTTGTTAAGCCTGCAGCACAGTTAGAAACCTGATTCTCCATCTGTAGGGTCATCAGTGCCCTTGACTAAAGTGTTCCTTTTCTGTTTTGAATGCTTATTTTCTATCTTTCCCACTGAAGATATAAAAAATAATACCACTGGTATTCTGAATACTGAATAACATTATTGATGTGAATATTTGCTGTATTGCTTATTAGAAATGGAGAACTGCTGTGTGTTCTTCTTTCCTTTTGTTTATCCTCTCTAATAACAGTAATTTCCTGTTCTCCTGTAGAGCAAACCATTCTGTCTGATTTTTTGATGCTTTTTGTTTGAACTTGGGTACTATACTGAAACACAGGATGATTGTGTCACCAAAGTCATATGGCTGTGGAAAGGCAAATATGACCCTTGGATACCCTGGAAAATTGATTGTCAGTAGCAAAGGGCAATGTTGTTGCCATGGTAGGGAGTTGATGAAACTTTCTCTGAAAAACTGGCAGTAGAATTGTTACCATTCTTGGTTAAAAAGAGTGAATACAAGACTAGAGAAGGTGCAAAGAGGTCTACTCAGGTTATTAAGGGAATGGAGATTTAACTTACAAGAACAGATTGATACAGTTCATTCAGTCTAGCAAAGTTGAAGCTGAGATGGGTACAATTGCTGGGGTTTGCTGTGTAAGTGGAGTAAATGCAACGGAAGGAAAAAACTGTTTGAGATAGATCTCAGTGTTGTTCCAGGAGAATATGTGAAGACATTGTCTGTGAATGAAGTGAGTATGGAAATTTGAAAAAAAAACATCACCCCTAGAGGAATGTGGTTCTGAAGCAGGTAGAGTGGGGAGGGACTATAAGTGCTTTCAAGATGGCACTTCAGTTTAGGAAAGAATGGCATAATATGATTCTTAAACACAAGATGACTGGCACGTGTGTCTGTAAAGACCTTTTTAATTATTATTATTCAGCTTGTTGAATTTTATTTTTTAAAAATATTATTCTGCTCTCCAGTTCCTCATATTGGAGATGCTTCCAGGTGTCATGTGGGTGTGTTGTTGGGGTTTTTTTTCACATGTAAAGCCTGAAGCCCTAAATCTTCAGGCTGAATCGTAAGTCCACAGAAATGCATTGGTACGTTTTCTGAAGATATATAACTCCAGTTTAATTTGAATACGTGATAAGCATAGGGGAAAGCAGACTTAACACAAAGTTAAAAGGCTACTATCTCTTATGTAAACCCAGCTTTTCTGAAAGACTGGGAAATTCCTTTTGGTATTCAAGAGAGGATTTGGAGAATTGCTTACTTCAGAGCCTCTAAGATGCAAATTGATACGGATTATAGAAAGAACATTAGGATAGCTGACTAACTTTTTTAACATATGTTTTATAAACCTTTCACCTTTTGGATGTACTCAAACTACTGTCAAAATAAGCTGCCTTTCATAGCTTTTTTGCTTATGTTTTTATACACAGAGTTGGCAAAACATATGTTTACATCCACTGCTGTGTAGAAAATGGTGGGGTTTTTTGTAGTGCAATTACTTTCAGATAAAAGTAATGTATTATTGCTTTACTACAGTATTTGCCTGTTTCTCTGTTGTGGAGTTCAGATTTCTGATAGATACCATATCTGTATCTCTTGAATTGGTTAGGTGGTACACAGAATAGTTGGTGTTTGCTGTAGCAAAGATAATGGGAATGTCACTCATTTGTTTTGGGATGCAGTTGTTTCATTAAAGATGGAAGTTTACTAGTATGGATGGGAAATAAAACAAAATTTAGAGTTGCACTGCCTGGAGATCTTTAACCTTTGAAAGAGCTCCTACAGATTTCCTTAATACGCAAGCTACTAGTATTTCCATGTCCTTCCCATCCCTTTTGTTGATCTTGAATGGTGACTTGTTGTTTGACTTGCCTCTGGTCGTGTAACACCTACGGAACTGTATCAATTACTTCTGTCATGTTCAGTGCTTTCTCTTTTGATCCCAATATATTAGACCATGTGAACTTCTAGAAGGCTTTGATAGTGTGCAGCCCATTTATGTGCGTGCATGAGCACGCATATAAGGATCAACAGTTGCCTGTTGTCTTTTTTTGGAGATGTGAGCAGGAGAGATTAAATAAAACAGTGATACTGTGTTAGATTTAGAAATCAATTTTTTGGAAAAAAAAAACAACTTAAGGTACTATAACAACAGAACATAAGAAGGTGGTTTGATTTTATATTTACTTTTTTACATTTCAAAATTTTCAAGGCTTACAAAGGTTTACCATCAAAAAGGTAAATTAATTTGTTTTCTAGGTCAGCTGCAAAAAAATTGCCAGATACTGTTTACACTAGCTTCACTGTTACCCAGTAGGATGTTTGAAAACTAATCTTTGCTTCTTGCTTTGTTCAGAAGCAAATTATCTCATCTTCCTTTCCATCATAAGTTATCTTACTCTTTCAGTGCTTAATGTAGTGTTTCTCTACTGAAGTAAATAAAATAATTCATCTGAACAAGTGGGTCTTCTAAACTGGTAAAATGTCACTTTTTTCCTGAAGGACATTTTTAATTTTATAACACACCCACCCTCATAGCCCATGTGTTCTTTCCTGCAGTTCTGGGCTGACAACTGAAATAACCCAGTTTTAAAACCGGTATATGTTCTAATATATTTTATATAGGTTCAAATGTTTAAAAGTTCATTGCACTAGAAAATGTTGTTTATTCTGTACTGATTCTGCAACTATATAGATTTGGTTCATTTGTTTGCCATTCTAGAGATGATAGTTCTAAAATTTATTCAGGTAAACTGTTTTTTCATCTTTGTCCAGGAATATAGTGTCTGACACATCTGTTCAGGAACAATCTGGAAAGATCACATGCTTTTCATCAAACAGTTGTAATTTGTCTTCTGCTTTTTTCTTTCTTAGGGAGGTTCTACTGCCCCTGGAGGTAAACGTTGGGTATCACAGTGGGCCAGTTTGGCTGCTAATCACACACGTCATGACCAAGATGACCTTAGATTGGAGTCATCTGTGCCTGCTCCACTAGAAAATGGTATTAAAAGCTGTTCTTGTTGTCATAATTTGTGTTGAAAAGGGTGATTATGTACCTACACAAGAAGCTTCCTGAGTCTTATTATTATCTCTGAGTAATAAAGCCTTGTTTCTGAAAGCACAACTTCTGTTTGTTAAATGGGCAAGGAGAGCACTGTCATCACTGGAAAAAATAAAGTTTAGTTTGTAAAAGGGGGGTATTCAGCATCAATTACTTCTTGCAACAGTTCATAGGATGGTTATATTTTTCTGCCTAAAGAGCATTCTTCATCCACAAATAATTCAATGAATGTGCTTTAGCAGGTAATACTTCATTGTTTTTAATGCTTCTTATACATCTTCTGTAAATTTCTATTCTACGGTGTCTTGTCTGGGTTAAAAGCATTAGTTTTGCTCTCTCAACCATAGCAAGTTCTTTATGAGTAGGGCTTTTCCATACTGTGGAAAGATTGTCTGCTAGCACTGCAGCCTATTCTGTGATGGGAGGCTCCATGTTTGAGAAGAAATTCTGTCTGTAGCAGAGCAGGAGGAAGGAATGTTGTTCTGTTTTTGCACTCTTAGCCTGGTTCTGAAATTACTCCTTCCCCTTTCCTGCTGTATGTTAGTTTTAGAACCTACACTTTTAGAAGATGGCTTTTTCTGTCCTGACCCTGTCTCTGTGATAAAAAGCAGAATGGTTCACAGCACTAATTCCGTTAGACGTTACTTTGGATATTAATAGATTCATGGTCAGTATCAGCACTTTGACTTGTATAGAATTAACTGTTCTTTTGCATGACACTCTTTACACTCTCCTTCTAGAAGTACAGAATTTTTTTTTATATATGTAATCTTTTTAAACAGGAGATACCCATTCTAAATTATGTTAGCACATTACTTCATTAGGATTATATCACAAAATATATTGCAACAGTAAAATGAAATAATATATCTAGTTGTGTACAACTTACTTATTATAGTTCAGAGGTAGCTTATATAATCCATAAACAGTTTCCAGCCTGTAATAAGAGGAGAAACTCTTTCCTATAAAGAGGAAATTATGCCTGATGAGAATAGACAAGCAATAATGGGCTAAATTGGAGAAATTCCAGCTCATTTTAAAGATAAGAAAATTATGTAGGAGTTATGTACCCACGTTGCTTGTCAGGATAGTGAAATCTCCCTCAACTGAGAATTTTAAGAACTTGTAAAATGTTTTTAAACATTTATCTAATTAATTATCCTCCCATAGAAAAAAGGGATGCCCTAAAGACTTTTTACAATTATGTTTTGTCTTGAAAATTTAATTTCTGTTTACCTTGCTATTGAATGATTTCTCACTTTTTTTTTTTCCTTTTTCATTTTTAGACGCAGACATCAGTGAGTCTGGTATTTCCATTAGAAGCACTGGTTCAGCTGCTTCTATGACCAGCCAAGGTGAGAGAAAGAGGAGGACACTTCCACAACTTCCCAAAGAGGAGAAAGTGAATGAAAGCTCAAAAACAAAAACCACATCTCATCAGAGGTCAGAAATAGGTGAAAAGCAAGACACTGAACTTCAGGAGAAAGAAACTCCATCTCTTGCCTTAGATGCTGACAGCAGAGTTATAGCTAAGTCAAGCAGAACAATGAATGGTTTTTCACCCAAAGTTAATGGAAAAAAAGTGTTTTCTTTCCCTAGCTCATCTAGCAAAGAGAAAGTTGAAACTGGCAGAGAAACCTCTGTGGTGAAACAAGCTTTAGCAAAAATTCAACAACAAGAAAGAAAGGAGCAAGGACACTGGACACCCACGAAATTATCTGCTACCAAACCTGCTGCAAATCAGATTGAAAAAGGTAGGGAGGAGATGGCTATGTCACCCAAAACTTTAGATAATCAAGACAAAGCTCCTGGACATGTTATGGATAAAGCAGAAATTAAGTTTGCACAGAGTGAAGGAAAAAGAAGAAAAAGTGAGGAACCTATTAAAGGACAAAGTCCTAAAGCATCTGGAGGAGAAAAAAAGGAATCTTCAAAATCATTAGTGAGGCAAGGTAGCTTTACTATAGATAAGCCTAGCACAAATATACCTATAGAACTTATTCCTCACATTAATAAGCAAAGTGGATCTGCTGCCCCTTTAGCATCTGCAAACAGGGTACGTGACAGAAGTGATTCAATGGACACTGATTCTAGTCTAGATACAACACTAATTTTAAAAGACACAGAAGCTGTAATGGCTTTCCTTGAAGCTAAACTGCGTGAAGAAAATAAAACTGATGAAGGTCCTGAGACTCCTAGCTATAACAGAGATAATTCCATATCACCAGAATCAGATGTAGATACAGCCAGCACGATAAGTCTTGTTACTGGTGACACTGAAAGAAAATCCACGCAGAAACGGAAGAGCTTCACAACCTTATATAAAGATAGATGTTCCTCTGGTTCCCCTTCAAAGGATGTTTTAAAAACTTCTGCAACAAGTGCCAGAGAAAAGATGGAAAAGAAAACTAAAAGTCGATCTTCAGATGGTGGATCTAGAGCTGATGCTCGTAAAACTGTGCAATCCAGTGGAAGAATGAGACAACCATCAGTAGATTTGACAGATGATGACCAAACATCTAGTGTACCTCATTCTGCCATTTCTGATATCCTATCATCTGACCAGGAAACCTACTCTGGAAAATCACATGGAAGAGTTCCTTTTGCTTCAGCAGATGAACTTTTGCATTCCAAAATGGAAGGAAAGTCAGCTAAATCAAAAACCTCTCCTGTTACACTTGGGCAATCTAGTAAATCTACTACTCTTCCAAGACCTCGTCCTACAAGGACTTCACTCTTACGCAGAGCACGGCTTGGTGAAGCCTCTGATAGTGAGCTTGCTGATGCTGATAAGGCTTCAGTGGCTTCTGAAGTGTCCACTACAAGTTCTACATCCAAACCTCCATCAGGGAGGAGAAATATTTCCAGAATAGACTTACTTGCTCAACCCCGCAGAACTCGACTTGGCTCTTTATCAGCTCGTAGTGATTCTGAAGCAACAATAACCAGAAGCACTGCTTCATCTCGTACCCCAGAAGCTATTATCAGAAGTCATGCAAGGTTAACATCAGTGGGAGATAGTAAAGTTTCTGCTAGAACTCGAGCCAATAGTATTTCTCGACTTTCAGATTCAAAATCCAAATCTTTGGCTTCAGCTCATAATTCTCCTTCAGGTATGTAAGATTATTCAAACTGGTCTTTATACAATCCTCAATTTTTTTCTATGTGGAAATTTTTATTTACTTTTTTTTAATGAAACATTTGTTGATTTGTATTTGGTGGAGTATTTATCTTTGGGGTAAGAGTTTTCCTTGGCAGGGCTTGCAGGTGTTTCTCACTTAAAATCATAAAGACAAGAAATCATAGTCCTTTAACTCTTTGGATATTTGTTCTAACTTGAAACTGATAACAAAGACTTGCATTGAGGCATTCAGATTTGGCAGTACTGATTGGGATGAGTACAAAAACAGAGTAGGGATCTCTATTCAAGTCATAATAGTAGAAGTTCCGAAGGTGAGCAGCACTTTTTACTAGATAGAAAATATAATATTTATTTGTAAGGTAGGCTTGTATATGTGTTGATCAGCAAGTATTCCCTGAGCATTCATAGGATAGTAATATGGAAGATTAGCTTCCAGATCTGCAAAAGTTAGTTTTGTTTGATCAGCATAACAACAATTAAGTAAAAAATGGAAAAAATTTTCACAGACACTACCCTAGCTAAGTATTGTAAAGTTAAGTAATTTATATAAGAAGGTTTGCCTTGCCTTGAAGTAGTTTCTTTTCTCTTTTCTGAATCACAACAATTCATGATTTTATCATTTCCAAATCATGTTGTTTTTGTTTTGTGTGGTAGTTTCTTAACAATAATACTATTTTATGTATGGGTGTTTTTCTTTTACCAAAAGACAGGTTACTATCTAAATGTTAAAAATGTTCCATGACTCTTCTCATCAGAGTTTAGTTGACATTACCATGTTGTAGATTACTCGACATTAACAGCAGGATCTTGCTTCTTAAATCCAGTCAACCAAAGAGAAAATTATTTCTGCGTTTCCCAGGTCATTTTGAATGTTCAGATATACATGTCTGGATAAAGGCAGCAAAAAAAGCTGCCGTCACTAGATTTTTTTTTTTTTGGTCTTTTTTAATTGTACTTCATGAGGACGAACTGCAGCATAATAGCATTAAAATTGTCAGAGCTCTCAGTAAGTCTGTAATTTCAAGAATCTTTTTTAGGCCTTGACACAGTTAAATATTGCTTATTTTAAATGAAAGAGCAAGCAGATAAATAGAACATCTTGGACGAGAATTGCCAACATTAAAGTAATTACCAGGTTGTTTCTGTGGCAGGAGGCTTGATAACACTATGAAGACATGTAAAGCAGAATTAGCCATTTTATAGCACAAGCAATGAAAGATTTAATCAACACACTGAATCATGGAACAGTAGAGTGTGATCAATAAAAGCAGAAGACCAAAGACCTCACAATTGTGGATGAAAATTTAAAGTGATGGTAAAGATGAAGCTGTGTATTGGGAAAATGGGGCAGGATCAGACCTAGTGCAGAAGTGCTAAGCTGCAAGTGTGAAATTCAGCATTGAGTCAGAACAGAGAGATGTTGAGCAGCTAGTTGTGTGTTTGGCAGCTCTGCTGGCTGGTTGACCTAGCTGTCATTGCAAATAACCAGCACAGAGGTTGATCAAAGCTGGTGAGGTATCTCTCAAAAAAAGCCCCACAAAAAACCGAAAACAAAACCAACAAAAAAACACATAAGAGAAAAAATCCTCGTTAAACTGCACTGTAACTTTTTTGCACTACTGAGCACCAAATCTGAGGATCTTGGAAAAGGATGAACCTTGAGAAGGCAATGTATCAATAAGAGCATTTTATAAGAGATATGCTCAGTAGAGTCTGTCCTCAGGTCTTAAAAGGGAGATTACGCTGTCCACATCATTAAACTTGCCAGTTTAAGGTATACATTATACTTCTCACAGCAAATTAGGTTTGTCTGCTGATTAATTTAGTGATGATTTTGTAGTAGTTGGTGCTGATACTCACAGTCTTGGTGTCTGAGGTAACATTGCAGGAATCTACATAAACTGCAATGAAATTTTGGAGCTGCATAATGTATGAACAGTATTAAAAGCATATATGTGCAAATGTCTAGCTAGATTAATGGGAAACATGCTTGGATATTGCTTGTCATGAATCACACAACTGAGATTTTTACTGTTCAGGCTGCAATAACATTTTCCCCATATTAGTAAGAAACTTGTTTATGACACATAAATAAACATTTTAAGGCCATAACATTTAATAGCCTTAAAACATTATGAGAGATTTTACTGTACCATGTAGACAATTGTTTTTGATGTCATTTCAGTTAGTATCTCTGAAATGTTTAAGCTTTTACAAAAATCATTATTTTTCATTGTGTATTACTTAAGAATCTTTTCCTAAAAACTGGGGTTGGAAAAGAGGATCGAAGAGTAATCTCATCAATATATCTTATTTAAAACAAATGCTTCTAATTTGAATGTGTTAATACGAATTAACGTGATAAAACACTATTTTGTACACAGAGAAATCCAAGCTTCTCCCAGACCCAGATCCTGATGTTGAAACTTACAGTGGTAGAGTACTAGAAATCAAATCTGTTTCTGATATTTCACTTCTCATTCACTTTTTAGTTTTTAAATATATGGTTAGATATGCTCATTGTACAGTGCTGAGTTGCTGGACTAGCTCAATTTTAACATACATTTTATATTTAATTTGCACATAATTTGAACCAGGACAAAGAATTTAAACAAAAATGGATGATAAAATGTGGGCCCAACTCATGAGCTCTTTGGACTTCGGTCACATATTACTTGCATGCTGTTAGTGCGGAAATGTGCTTTTTCTGCTTATGTTCCACTTCCCTAGGATCAAAAACTGGTTTGAAACCTCTAAAAAAAGATCAGTAAATGACTGGAGAGACATTTTTATTTTCTTAACTAAATTTAAAAATATTAAAAAAAAATAGTCAAACCAGACATTATTTGAATCCTACATTTAAACCTGAAAAAATAATGCAAGCAGTTTTTTACTTTCAGCGTTAATAATGCATTATTTATATGAGGGAAGGGATATATCCTTATATACAAATGTCATATTCTGCATTAGTTACATTTATACTGATGTTTGTCATCTGTGATTTTTTTAAAAATGTGTCAGGAGAAATCACTATTACTTCTTGCATTTTTCTTGTACTAAAAAAAAAATACATTCCTTGAATAATTTTTTTTAAGCACCAAGAGAGGATCATACACTCTTAAATAATTTTACAATAATTATAGAGCCTCTTGAATGTCAGTGAGTTCTGCAGACTAAAACCTCTGCAAGAATTTAACAGATCATCATTATGAGCATTTCTTTGCACTTAGTGAGAGCTCTTCCTGCTGGGAGTGTTTGAGAACAGCATATCTAAGATGCATTTTCTAGACTTTGGTAATTCATAAGAGGACCAGAGCCTCCTACTTAGTTTCATTTCACTTCAAGCTCTTTTCAGCAACATGGCTGTAAATGTAAATGTAAATATGCTACTTGTGAGAAAATAGGCTTTTTGCTCTGAGGCTGCTAGTTTTGTAGATGTGCTGCCAATTTTTATAACACAGTATTAATTTTCCCATATTTTTCCTGATCTAAATACATAATGCATCATCTAGGGTTTTTATGCTTTTCTTATGTAAGCATGCATGTCTGACTTGCTGTCAGCTCCATCCTTCCTTCACGTCTCTTCATTTTTTTGTGTATCACATAAACCTTGAATGAAATTTGGGGAAAGATCTGCAGAAAAAGTGCAATCTGACCATATACTTAAATTTTAATGAATTGGGCCCTTGTTTTGTAATACAGTTTGACTGAGCTCTTACACAATTACTGGCTTCTACATCTGATTTCACTCATCATTATACAAAGAGCATCCGTTTTATGTTTTTATTAATCAATATTTATTATTTAACACAAATTTTGTAGCTTTCTTTTTAAGATGTAGTAAACCTTTTGTGAGGTATTGGGTTTGATAATGAATAGTTGTGTATTTTTGTGATGTTACTGAATACTCTTTTTCTTATTAAAGTTGCAATAATAATTCTTTTTTAATAATTAAACTAATTTAGTAAATGCAAGATGGAGGCGCTTTCCTACAGATTATGCTTCCACCTCAGAAGATGAATTCGGATCAAACCGTAATTCCCCTAAACATACCCGTCTACGTACTTCTCCAGCCCTGAAAACCACGCGGCTGCAGAGCACTGGGACAGCAGCTCAAAGTAGCAATACATTCAAGCACAGAATAAAGGAGCAGGAAGAATACATTCGTGATTGGACTGCTCACCGAGAAGAAATAGCAAGGTTGGTTTTAAATGAGTGCCTCTAAAACAAAGGTTTGTGCCTGACAAGTTATATAGGTACCTATAAAAAAAAAATGTTGGTGGATTTGCTGTATCACTCTATCTCCTGTTTTCATTCACTACCTGAATGGGTGCTATAAAATTCTTCTGATGAGAGGCTGACAAACAGAACACTCATTTTTTCCAGCACATCTCATCTCTTTCTAATGGAAAATGATAGTTATTTCTGACTTAGGATAGCCAGATCCCAAAATATTGAACCTCTGCATTAATGGCACTTGCAGTGATACCTTGTGTAGAACTCTTAGGTGCTAATGGTGTGTTTCCTGAGGCTGAAGTGTGTCTGAATTTGTACTACCTTTACATTCATATTGAGGTACAATTTCAGATCAGGAAGTGTTCAAGGCCAGGTTGGATGGGGATTAGAGCAACCTGGTCAAGTGGGAGGTGTCCCTGCCCATGCAGAGAGTTTGGAACTAGATGAAAAAGTGATTTTTGCAGTTTGAGAGACCATATTATCATTTTTATTTTTTATTATCTAGACATTATTTCATGTTAGACGTTTTATGATTTAAATCAGATGTATTCATCAAAAGTAATTTATTTTGTTGTGAGTCCCTGAGCAGTTGCTCTATGATTGCTAATGGCACTCTGCTTTGAGTGAGTTCTATGTTTTGTTGTAACCAGTTTTTCCCATATCATGTAATATCCAAGCAGTGAAAAGTTCAAATACTTTGCACTAAATAAATAAAATTATGTAAGTACATTAATGTTATTTATAACTTAGATGCCAGTGTTCAGGTTCTGAACCTTTTCACAGAACTTAATTTGGAAGCCTAAACAAGAAAAGTGTTTTTCCTTTTAAAATGATTCTTAACTCTGTTGTCTTGTAGATGTGAAGCATTGTGTTTTGATTAGTGTGATTAATTATTTTTGTTTCCTCTTCTTGGTAATATTTTTCAACATTTGTTTTTCTAGTATGGTTTGTGCACAGGGAAAATTCTTAGGGGAGTCTGTGATAGCACCTTAATAAATCATGAAATAAGCATCTTCAAAGCATCTTCCTAAGACATCTCTTTCTTTCCAGGAGTCTAAAGTTATAGGGGGGAATGTGTGTATATGGGGAAAAGAATAGTGTGCCATGTCTTCCTTATAAGAAGTACTGCTGAACTGCTACTTTAGTAAAACTTGCTACATTTTGGTCACTAGGAGAGATTGACACTGGAAATAACGGATGATTCAGTCTGAATTATGAGATTTGTGGGTATATTTCTTCCATTGGCCTTCTTACCATATATTCATTTAGATACTGTTTTAAATTTATTTTGAAGACTGTATAGTTACCATACCTCTTTCAGCTTCTTTATTTCTAGTGGAAATGGTGAGAAGCTCAAATCAGTATTGGTGAATTTGTCATTGTGTATAGAAATTTCACACAAACTGCATTAAATGAGTGTATTTCAGGTTGAGAAAGCTAACAGTATTGTTACCCTGACTTTAACTTCTGTCTTTTATAAGATCATTTTTGTCTCCACTCCCTTCACCTTGCTGACCATAGTTTCTCCTCTGCCAGTGTCTCCCCTATTTTTTTCCTTCCTAGCCTTAAGTCCAGCCTCAATGATCAGAGTCCCTGCAGCACTGTTTGAAGTTTTTAAAAGAGGGAAAGTTAGTCACATAATCTGATTTAAATTGGTTTAATTTTTTGTTAAATAACTTATTAGATTAGGAAGGTATGAAAGCTTCGTGAAATGATGTGCAGTTGAAATTAGTGGAGAGAGACTGTACGACGCACATTTAATTGCTTCCATGTTTCCATCATACTGTCTTCTAATGGGTCTTCCAAGGATGGCTCCATTTGCACTTTTCACAGATGTTAATAAAATTGAAAATTGGAAAGAGGTGTTTAAAAAAAACTTAATTCAAAAACTACATTTGATCTAAACCCACTTTGACCTGGAGGGAATATACAGCCTTAGATAACAGGAGCTTCATGTATATTCTATTCAAGGATTTTAAAGTATTATTATAAAATAAATTGACTCAGTATAGGAAGTGTGACATAGTAGATGAAGCATAAAAATGGTTTTGGTGATCCAGCAGTTCAGAACTATTGCAGCTATCTTAGAAGTATTCCTATTTCATTGTGTTTTTTTCTAAAACTATGGGTGTTTTTTCACTGCAGGTAAATAAGAATTAGAGATCCAGGCTGTTGAAAAAGATGGTCATGCTCTCTTCATCCCAGTCCCTGTGCTCTCACCTTTTTCCATGTGTTGAAATCTGTGTCTGCCCCTTATGTAACTGTGTAGCTGCAGGAGTCTGCTCACTGACCAAATCTAGTAGCAACGTTTCCTGCAGCAGGTCAGGTGGTTTAGGGAATCTGAGGTTTATTTTAGTTTCGCCCCCCTGAATTGATTTGCCTTGCTAGGTCTGATCCAAGAAGCAGTAGAATTCTGCAAGGCAACCTACAATTCCAACAGAATAAATAATGTGCACCTCAAGCCTAAAGCTCTTGTCCCTGATCACACAGAACATTATATGCAAGCAATACTTTCTGGTTTTAAACATTAGTGCAGAATGACTTGAAAACTGCATTTATGAAGAGTCCAGTTCAGTTCTCAGCTGGTTTCTAGTGTTCTTTTTGACAATACTTTTTGTTTAGTACTTTGTCATTTCTATACAGAAGCATGATTGAGTATTGACATTAGCTTACTATCACATTGAAATTAATTCCAGATATTGTTCACTGACTAGTGTTTACCTATGATGATTGTCTAACAAGTTGCTTGCCATCCATGTTAGAGTTGTTTACTGTGCTATTTTCAGGGTTCATTTGGATTCATTTTACTGTAGACATCTGCCACTTTGTGTAATTTTGATTGCTTGGTAAGAACTCGATTGAAGTCCCAGTGGCATATTGAAGTATTTTTATGGAGAGTTAAGTCCTAGTTGATGGAAATTGGTTATGTTGTTTAATAGCTTTTGTCTTCTGGATGGTTTGCTGATAATTTAAATTTCCTGGGTTTTATTTTCTTCAGAACTTTTCATTAAATACTAACATTTGACACAGAAATTAAAATGTGTTCATTAGTGCCTTCTTTAAGTGATGTAGTTGTGTGAAACAAAGAAAGTAGTATCTCTACTATTTAGAATATTAGTTCAAACCTTGGAGTTTTAATGGTACATATATACAAGAAAAGGAAATATAAATTAAAATTTATCCAAAAGATGTAGTGATTAGATTAAATTACTTAATGTAGTAGTAGGCACCTACCATACTTTAATGTCTTAAAATGAGCATTGACTTTGTTTCTGCTCTAGTGTTCCAGTCTTTGATAGTTGGAGTTCAGGAGTACTGTCTCGAGTGGTCACGGGTAATTGCTGCATATCCTATCCCAGTTATATATTACGTGTGTTTCTATGCTGCACAAGGTTGCACTGCATGTTTGCAGGTTGCTGGTGATTAGTTGCAAAAATTCAGTGTTGTAAATTGACTGGAAACATCTCTAACTACATTTGCTTTTGTAGTTTGAATTCTACTCACTCATTCTTAAACTGTCAGTGGTGTCCATTCTTTTTGACTTGGAGACAAAGTGAAAATAGAGAGCAGTAAGCAGCTGACCTCTAACAAGCACTGAAAATAAATAGCAGAAGGCAGTTCACCTCTAACAAGCACTGGCCAGCACAGTGTGCATCACTGTCACATGGCTGTGCAACCCCTTCTGCTTCAGTGGCATGTGCTGCTGTTCACACAGTCCTTGTTGGGGCAGAATCAGTACTGTTGACTTCTTTGCCTTCACTCCTCTCAGACAAAAGTATGAAAGGGGATCACTTGGTGGGCTGGTCTGAATTCTAGGTCTTCTGAACTGCTTGATCCATGTGGGAGATTCAGGGTGTCATGTTTAGTTTGGTGGCTTTCAGCTTTTGCATATTTTTTCCCCCCTCCTTTTTGGGTGTCCTGGAGATAACTAGCACAAGCAGAGCTAGGCAAGCTTCCCCCCTGCGCTGAGCAGAATACAGAGCAGAGCAATTTTCTCATGTGGCAAATCAGAAGAAAGGAAAAGGAATCTTCAGCTGATCCATAGGATGTATTTGCATAGTGCAGTCATCTACAGGTTTTTACAGGCATGTTCAGTTTTTCCAACTAGAAGGCTTGTCTGGATTAAATGTGAGCATCGAGGGTACTGGTCTGGAATTTCAGACATGTAAGCAGCTTGATCTGAGGAAGCTGCAGAACTGCTGGATAATTACAGGTCCTGAAGAAATCCTTTGCAATTAGGTGAACTGAGGTATAAATTAAATATGTTCTGGACATTTCGGATTTACTGCAAGCACACAGGTGGTCTCTGCAGTATTTTCAGCTTCTTACAAGAGCATCCCATGTGTGCATCTGCTCATCTCTGCCTAGGAGTCCTAGAAAGAAAACAAGGATGCTCTGTCTTCTGAGATTGCCTTCTACCTTCTTCCTCTAGAAAGGCATGTTGTTAAAAGCTTAAGTTAAAAATTCGCATTTGTGGTTCTACAAATAAGCTTTCAGTTTAGAAGGGCATATCCATTTTCATAGCCTAGTTATCACAAACTAGAGCTTTGAAGCTCAAAAGCTGCAGGTTGGGCTCTACTGATGCAGAGGTATTTGTAGGGGAGAATGTAACGCTGTCTTTTTTGCTAGGATCAGTCAAGATCTGGCTCTCATCGCACGGGAAATCAACGATGTAGCGGGAGAGATAGATTCAGTGACTTCATCAGGCACTGCCCCCAGTACCACAGTAAGCACTGCTGCCACCACCCCTGGCTCTGCCATAGACACTAGAGAAGAGGTAGGAGATCTTCATGGAGAAATGCATAAGGTTCTTCCTTTTCTTTATTTCTTTTGCTTTTAGCATTTTGCATAGCCTTTTTTAGTTATTTTCACTCAACCCATATGCATGATCTTTACATTTCTTTATTTAAAGTTCTTTTCTCTTACTTTTTAACAACCAACCATGAAATTACTCTGTGAACACAGCTTGTCAAAAGGATGCATAATATCTGTCTGTCTCTTTTTTTACATGAAACACAGGACAAGATAGTTATTTGTTTCTTGCTTATCTGTAACCTTAGATACCATTGGATAGTGTCTAAGTGCATTTAAAGATACTAGTATCTGCACAAATATATATAAATGCATACATTTAATACTTTGCATAGCTATTAAAAAGAAAAAAAGTCTCTTTTTACAGATGACAAAAGTTTCATCTTCTTAGCACTGAAATACTTAGGTACCATGAATTGACAATAACTTTAGATTTTCTTTCTTAATAACATTGTCAAAAACTGCCTTGGACTAAGTTTGCCTTGTGCTTCTAATAATTCTTATTTTCTTTTATTATCTTTGGTGTACTCTATGAAAGCACTGACTAACTTGTTTTAGTAACCATCACAGGTCTAATACTGGTAAACATCTTAATCTGAAGTTAAATCATTGCTTTCTACCATATTAAAATTCACCCTAATATTTTGTAAATGTTTACTACATTTTTTTCTTCATAGTATTCCTTTCAAAATGTGTTTGTTCATTTTTGTGTGCATAAAGTTTTGTTAATACATTAGTTTACTGTGTTTAGTATAATAGTGTCTTTTTCTGTGGAAAAAAAAAATAAACAGTGGTAAGAAATCTGCGTGCTGGGCAGTGAAAAAAATTATAAGTGCACTCATATATTTTGGGTTTCATTTTTATGGATCTATGGCTAAACTTAAGGAAGTGCTTATTTTCTCAGATCCAGTTAGATCACTCTGATTTTTATATTACTAAATAATTATTTTCTTCTTTTAAAACTATTGTACAGTGTGTACATACTGCAGGTGGCAGTGTCTCCTTTAAGTAAGTCTAGGTGTTTCTGTACCACTATGACTAATCTGGAAAAAAAACCCTAAATTCGATAGTACTGTACTTAATTCCACAGATATATTTCATTAGTCAAAATAATAAATTATTCAATACCAGTTTATAAGTAACTGTTATGTTACCTGCCTGTGAGCAAAATTTCAGTGGGGTAATCTAATTTTGCCATGTATTGTATATCAGGTAATTGAAAAATAAAATGTTCATTTTTACAAGATATTATTACACAAGAGGTGAATCATTTTATACTATATAAGACACCAGAATAATTTTTATTTGATAGGTTTCTAGTAAACTGTTTCAGAAGAAAAAAGAAATCAACCTAATTTTTCCATGTATCCAGTAGGTTTCCTAAACTGCATTTTTCTTTTACCCCCTAGCTGGTTGACCGAGTATTTGATGAAAGTCTCAATTTTAGAAAAATCCCTCCACTGGTGCATTCCAAACCACCAGAGGGGAATGGTCGGCCTAATGGTGCTAGACCTCAGCTAACAGAGGCCCTTGATCCCCCAACAATTACCCGGAGAAGGACTTGGAGCAGAGATGAAGTGAGGATTCTTTTTAGTAATGTGTCTATTTTAAGCTTTTGCTATTGTTTCTCCACTAATATTCTAGACATTATTCTTTTTTTCCTATCTGTAGCAGGTGGCATTAATACTTGGAAAACATTATTTCTGTGTTATTTACTTTGCAAAACGTTCAAATATGATTGTATATGATACTTATTAGAACAGAAATATGATTTTTATAAAGTCATATTAAAAATTATTTCAAAAAATATGGAATCATTTTTATTCAATTGCCATTAAACTAATAATACCCTTTTTTTCTTAAAAACTTATTGCAGGTTATGGGAGACAGTTTGCTGTTGTCCTCAGTCTTCCAGTTTTCTCGCAAGATAAGACAATCTATAGACAAAACAGCTGGCAAAATCAGGTGGGCTTTTAAAAACTACTGTTATTACTGAAAATGACCTGTTCTCATCAATGTTCCTACTAGTAGAAGAGAGATGTATAATACAGGTAGAGCAGATGTGTTTACTAGCAACTTGTTCTTCAGGAAAGCAATGTTACTTATAGCTTTTTTAGCATTCAGAAAGATTTGGGATTAATAATTTTTCCACTGTTGCTTGTATTTCAAATTATATGAAGATAAATTTCAGCAAAGTTTACATGAACAGAAAAATATCCATCATACTTGCAGCAGAGGAGCTGTTCCAACATATGCAAATGGTCTGCAAAGTCTGCGAGACCTATATTCAAGGCTTGTAAAACTCCATTGCTTATTAAAATAAGGTTAAAATGTTGCTGAACTGTAGAAGTTTCCCAGATGGTTGTAGGGATCACTCGTTTCAGTCAACCCTCCTGTAAAAGAACTTATTCTGGAGACAATGTAGTCGCTGTTGAGTTCTAAATCTAAAATAACAGATGTAACCTCCTGTTATTTTTAACTGAAAATACCTGCTTAGATAGTTAGATTCCTCCATAAAATGTCATGATAGCTGGCAGGAAGTACAGACATGTCAAAACTGATTATTACATGTTGCTCTACCAACAGTTCCATTTAACTTGAATAAATGAGTGTACAATCATATGATGGCTACTTTGGTTAGCAAGAATAAAGGAAACTTCTAAAGACAAAGTTCAGGATTGTATAAGTCACATGTCCTTCTTCGTGGCTTTCTGCAGTTAATATTTTAAAAATAGAATACATTAAAAATGAGAGTCATTTGCCTGACTTTCATTTATCATTTTCTGAATGTGAGAAAATACTGTAATTGATTGGTTTGTCTTGTCAGATACTGAAATCTTTCATGGGTGACAGATTAATCACCAACTCACAAATTTATTTCAGCATGGGATGCTGTCACTATTAAAAGCAGCAAAATACTAATGTATCTGAGGGTTATCTTCTTGTGGAGGTACCAAAAAAGCCACTTGACCATAGAACTTTAGAAGAAAATAAAAAATTTCTATGGAGCAGTAGAAACTGTGACTTATCTGCCACTTCTAGTCCTGCTAATTCTAGTAGGAAATTCTGAAGTAGAAACAAAGCATCACAATAATTTTTGGGTTAATCATAATTTCCTGTGAAAATACAGTGACATCCAAAAGGAACTCTACTTACAAATATTATTTTTTTTTTCTTTTTAAAGCTCCATCATTGGAACAGGAATCTTGCTTATTGACTGACTTATTTGTGGTAGACATGTAGGATGATAGGTATCTTAAATTCCTCAGAAGCAGTAGATGCTCTACTTTTTTCATCATGATGATCTTTCTTGATGTTTGGCAGTTTCTGATCTGTAAATACATTGCTAGCACAGCTGTAGTTTACTTAATGCAATACACTGAGTTCAATACAGTGGGGCTGAAGCAAATCTATGTGTGCAAATTCATCCTGAGAAAAGCAGGTAACCATAAAATCAAGTCTTACACTTTCCTGATCATTTTTCTGACCTTAAAAGGTAAGTCAGCTACATTGTACTGAATGTAACAAGGATGTGGTCATGTATAATATAAATGAAAATATACCTATCAACATTTTAAATCTATTTAAAGAGAGTAGCATTTTATATCTCTATAAAACTATAGTTGTGAAACTTGAATTAAGAAGCACTTATTTAGCATATTCCCCTGAACTGTGATCAAATCTCCTTTTTCCTGCTTCTTGGAATGGATTTGAATAATATGACGTTATTCTTAATGTCATTAGTACTTTGAATCAGAAAAGCAATACTTAGAGAATTGTTTTTAGAAAGCATGTAAGGCAGCTGGGACCTATTACAGATTTTACCTTAGATTTGTTTTGATGTACATGAGTTCAACCAACTGGTGCGCTTATTTCTTTTACTGGAGTTAAGCCAGTTAAAATTTCTCCCCAAATCGGGTACAATGAGAATCAATCAGAATTTGGCACGCTAGCAGTCATCTTTTTCAAAAGTATTTGGACCTGAAAGGACAGGAGAACTTTCTAGAGGCACCAAATAAGAATAAGCTAGTAAACCTGACTATGTTTTAAAATTCTTCTCTCAGATTTTCTTTTTCACCAATGTAAGCCTCTCTTCTGAGAGCACAATCAATACAGACAATTAAGATCCTTACAAATTGCGTCACACTTATTAAAAATATTGGCATCCTTCTTATCTGGGTCCAAGTGGAGAGAGACGTGTTTCCTGTGAACATGAATACCTTTCTGTTACATTTAAGTTGCAATAGCTAGCTGTGTGAAAAGACCAGTTTCACTTTGGCTAAAGTATTAAGAACACCAGTATTTTCAGTCATTCTTGACAAGCAGATGTGTCGGAAGTGAAAATCAGCTGAAATGAATCATGAAAACAAAGTAATGTGAGGATAATAGGAAATACATCTTTTTGCTTGAGTAGTTTCTTGCCCTTTTCATTAGAGCTGCCATTTCTGTTTTCTAATTCGTAGACAATATTCTAAGTTCCACTGAGTTCTGTTGTCATTCCTACCGTATATTAAGAAATAGGATTGAGAAAAGCTTTTGACACTGTGTTCCTTGACTAGCTTCTCCCAGTGCTAGCGTGGTGTTCAGATTGAACTAGATTCAGGTGCCTCGTTCATTGCTTTCACCAAGTCGTCTTTGTAGTTGTAATTTTCTTCCAGATGAGGTCATAACTTGGGTATTGCGTAGTTACTTTTTTATCATTTATTCATTACTTTGTATAATCAGTTAGGTTCTTATCTGCTGGTGTATACAAAATTACATCATATTTAAAAATTCTGCAGCATTCTTGCCATGTATCCTATAATGTGTTATTTGCTAAGAAATCATTATGGTGGCTTCTCAGAAAGTAGATATGCATTTTGTTTGTTTTTCTGGTTTTATATGTTATAAAGAGTTTGCAGGGATTTTTCAGAGATTATGGAGGTAAGTAGGTTTTGCAGTGAGAAGACCTTTGTGGGTTTAGCAGTGCTCTACGTTGTGAATGCAGCATTACTGGCTTGCTTTGTAGCATGCAAGTACCTCTTCACTCAAGTGAAATGTAGGCAAAGCATTCAGGTCAGTGCAGGAACTACTTGGTCAGTCTCTGCATTCTCCTGTGCATCCTGCAAACTTGGGACAGAGCACAACCAAGTAAGGAAGTTCAGATTTGCCCCAGAAAGTAGGACTGAGAAAGGCAAGAGCAGAAGGCATCATGCATCTGTGAATACCCTTTTGTAATATAAAGAGCATGATTAGAAGGGGGAAGAGCAAGGGAGAGATTAAGACAACCCCCCAAAAAAAAGAATCATAGAATCATCAAGGTTGGAAAATACCTTCAAGATCATCAAGTTCAACCATCTGCCCTACAACCCCTAACCACTAAACCATCTCCTGGAACACCATGTCTAGGTACCTGGTTTTTTAACACCTCCAGGGATGGTGCCTCCACCACCTCCCTGGGAAGCCTGTTCCAATGCCTCACCACTCTTTCTGTGAAAAAAATTTTCCTATTATCCAATCTGAACCTTCCGTGGTGCAGTTTGACCCCATTTCCTCATGTCATTAGGTCACTGGTCACTAGCGAGAAGAGGCCAACACCCACCTCACTAGGACTTCCCTTCAGGTAGTTGTAGAAAGCAATGAGAAAAATGTACTAAACAAAGGACTGAAAAAAATGTTGTAAAAAGGAAATGGACTTCTTAAAATCAAGGCAAAACCAAATAATTGCCTATGGAAAAAAAATCCTACCTATGAAATGTAAAGGTTTCAAATTGTAAAAAATAAGTTAAGACATTACCCGTAAAAGAGTAAAACTGAAAAGAGCACCTACACAAACAGGGGTAATAATCACATACATAAAGATAGAAGTATTTTGATAGAACATGATCAAGAAGGTAAGTGAAAAAATCAAGCTTGTCACAATAAGAAATCAGAAAGAAATGAGAAATCAGCTGTGTCTTTTCAACACCATAAGCAAGTACACAACTGCTATTTTAATGTGAATAATAATTAGATTGCTCAAACTCTGTGTGCTTCCCTGAAAATTTAAGCTGTATGGTTGTATTTTGTCAGGTTTCACTATTTCAGATTTTGGTTCTATTCTGTGCTCCCTCAGTGCTTTGTTGTATTGTGTATCTAATCTTTCGGCTTTAGTTTCTTTATTTATATCTATTTTAAACATAATATTCTTCAATTTCTTTCTTCTAGAATATTATTTAAGGACAAAGACAGAAATTGGGAAGAAATTGAGAACAAGTTGCGAACTGAAAGTGAAGTTCCTATTGTGAAAACATCAAGCATGGTACAAATAGTTATCTTTTCTGAGATTTAATGAGCCACTTACCTAATTCCTAAGTAACAAATAGAGGAATATGTTACTTTCAATTATATAAAGGCAAAAATCATTCAAAGGTTTTATTTACACAGTCATCATATTTCAAGAAAAGAAACCTAAATTTTTTAATAATTCCTAAGGCTTACTATCTTTTATAAAGAAGCACTCTTAAGTAATTGTTCAGGAGAAATTCTCACATAAAGAGTGCAAAAAAGGGGACTAATGGTAACATCCATTGGTTTGAGTGTTGAATTTCTTTCAAATGAACTTGTTTTATAATTAAAAGACTACTATGCTGACTGATTATTAATACCTAATAATACCTAATGTATAATACTTAATACAATATTTTAATCAGATAAATAGTTGTATTTTGCTATTTCTGAATCAAGATAATCTGAAGGCCCATTGCAATAAAAGCACTCTTCAATGAAAACTAATCATGTTGATTTTGTATGGAAGTGATAACTTTAGGATACCAGCTACAGCTCTGCTTGATGGATGTAGTCTTCTACCCATTCTTGACAGGGCCATTTCATGGCCAGGCTGTGTGACATTGTGAGGGAACAGAGGACGTGTTGTTTCCTACTGTGCTTCTCCTCTACCTCTAAACACAAAGAGTAGGGTTTGAAAAACATCTCTGCATGTTAGAGCAGGCAGAGTCTAGCTACATTATCCCATCTGGAGTGCCGTGCTGTTAAGAATGTCAGCTTACAGGTTTTTTTTCTGGTATAAAGGTGGAAGAGGAAACTCTTCCTCACATACAGTGTCCTGGACTGCTCAGAAGCAATATGTGAACACATTTCCTCTAGCATTGAACTGGCTAGCACTTCTCTGTTACCTCATCATCAGTTACTAAACTCATCCAGATTGATTTTTTTCCTGGAAGTATTAAAAACTTGGTCCGTAATTTTGGAGAATGGTCTCTTTTTTTAAGAGCAATGATTAGTAACTCTGTGATGCCATCTATTAGATACACTGATAGTTTGGGGTTTTTTTTAAGTTTAATTAAACAGGTTACTCATTTAAGCTTCTACTATCAGAAATCTGATTAATATAAGGAGTTTCTCCTATCTGTTTCCAGAATAAGATTGGAGTTTAGTGTTCTTTATTCTAAATGCCTTGAATGTGGAGTTTTAAGGCACTTAAAAAAGGCAAAGATTAGTTGTATATTTATTCTGAAGTTCAGCATTTTACATTTTTTTAATACGTTAACACATTCTACACTGCTTGAAAGTGCATGGTTTAGGGTTTTTTGTCTGTGCACTGATTTTCAAGTTTCTGCTCAGTTTTCAGAACAATATATTATTCAAATGCATTGATTATTTTTACCTGTTATTAAAAGTTAACAGAGGACAACTGAACGGGTGTTCGGTTTGTCCTTGAGACATTTATGTCCAGCCCAGATGTAGAATCTACTTAAAGGTCATGACTTTGTAAAATCCAAGTTAATCAATCTCTTTGCCACCCACAAAAATTACATTAGTTGGTAGAGAATGGGTTTCTGTAATGGGTTAAATGGGCTTCTGGAATTAATGCTTTAGAAAATTCTCATCTACTAAAGTCTACTGGCAACCCTGCTTAACAGTTGGATTACCAGTGCTCTTCAGTGTAGGATCCTTCAGTTGTGTGATTTATATGTTTATAATTTCAGGTGTACATTTAATGATTGTTGTGTTTCCGTGTGTTGCTGTGGCTGCATCTATCTTAGCAAGTAGTGCAGCACAGAGGTGAAAAATCTGTAAGGCAGATGAGTACTTAGGACCCAACACTAATGTGCTATACAGGGCCCAGTGATTGCAGACAAAATCCCAATGTAGCCATTTTAGTATTCTGACTCACATCTGAACAAGGGTATAAATCACCCTGTTCCATTAGTACTGGGTTTATACTTTAACTTTCCGTTAAAGGTTTGCTGCTACTTGGACCCATTTCTACAGAACCATGGTGTCTGTAAGTCTCTGATTGAGAAGTAGCAGCACAGACAGATGAATGAGGGGGACAGAGTGAAGTTTTGATGACTCCCAACAATCAGTCAGTGTGGAGTAGCTCTTGATTTCTGAGTGGTCCACTGCTCTCCAGCCTCAGGCCCTGCTGCCCAGGCCCATGGTGAACATGGCTGGGCCACCACTAGCAAGGGTGCACTTGATGCCAAGAGGGACAATCCAAATAGCGTATTACAAAGCTTGGTGATAGATACTACTACTGATAGGTAGTTTGAGTCTCTTTTTCCTTAATGAAATACATTTGTTTCTTTCCTAGGAAATATCATCAATCTTACAGGAACTGAAGCGAGTTGAGAAACAGCTGCAAGGTTCAAATCTTTTTTCAGTTTTTCTTGTTGCTTGCTTTAGGTTTTTTAATCTCTATATGTATGTATATAATGAAACTAAGAGATCACATCTTATTAAAATATATTCACAATATCAGTTACCTACATTAATACCATACAATTGCTGGCACATGGGGAAAAGAAACATCACCATTATTTCTAAAACAAGAGAGTGATGATATCTTTTTATATGGGTTAGAAGAGGCTCAACTAAAAATGAAGTCGTCCAGAGAATCCCAAAGGAATTATTTGTGAAACATTCTTAATGGAAATATTTTTGTGGGTAAATGTTGAAGCATAGGTGATAGAGAGTTCTGAGATTAGACTTTATAAAGTAGCATTTGCACATCAGTGATGCCCTCATGCGTGTGCACAGTTCAGTGTAAGGAATACAGTGGGACCATAATCCACAGGAAATGTCAAAAAAACCTCCTTTATCTGATACAATAAAATGAAAATTTAGGATTAGCTCTTTACATCTTCCCTTTACACTACTAAATCCACTCTTGTAATTGTGCAGCCATCAGACTACGAAATAGAAAAGTTTGTTTTCATGTGCAAAGGCTTACCTCTGTAAAAAATGGAATAAGTATGTTGTGCTTACAAAGGCAGTGCTTTGTGCGGTTTCATTTTATCTCAAGTTTTAATAGATGTAAATTCTTTAAGTATGTATGTATTTGCTTAAAGGTGTGTTGGGTATATCACTCCTTTGCAGTGGGCAAAAGCTCATGTCTGTCATCATAAAAATTAAAGTTTTAGAACAGCGTTTTCCTCAGAAAATAATATTTTTTACTATCTCTTCCCTATCCCTTTCATCTTTTCTTGATTGCTTAGCAATTAATGCTATGATCGACCCCGATGGTACCCTGGATGCTCTGAGCAACTTGGGATTCGCCAGCCCTATCTTACCAGCTCAGCCGAAGCTGAAGTCCAGTCCTGTTTCCCAAAGTACCCGCCCTCCAGTGCAGCCAAACTGCCAGCCTGAAGCTCAGGCTCTTCGACCTGCTGCTGTCCCTGTCGCAGCTGAATTTGAGCATGCTGAGGCCGACTCGGATTTCAGCATACATTTCAATAGGTTTAACCCAGATGGGGAAGAAGAAGATGCCACTCTGCGTGAGTGACATCTCAGTGTTGATAAAAATACCTTTCATGTGGAATGTTTAGGAATAAAGGAAAACTATAATACTGGTTTTATAATTTTTAAAGAAAAAGACTTGGTCAAACAGCAGTTGTTTTATTAAACCAATTTTCTTTAACTGTGATGCTTTGATTGTCACAAAAATCCTTTTCACATCATGAAGATATGCATAGATACCAGTGTAGGAAAGCAGATTGTGGCAGGTTTGCCCTTTGTGGTTGTGTGCTTTGCAAAAGAATTATTATATCAGCAGTTTTCCCTTAATAGATTTACTTCTTTTTTAGAAGCCATGTAAGCAGCCTAACATTTAATATTACTGAAACCCCAGATCTCTTTGCCAAGCTGCCCTAATGAATGGACTTCCTCCACAAAACTTTTTTACAGAACTGTTGAACAGTTACATTTGATTCTGAATTAAATGATTTATATAGGAAACAATCTCTTTGACCACAGTGACACATTACTGCAAAAGGTAAGACGGATCTCAGAAGACATACATTCTTGTGTACTGAAAATTTCTGACAGTTCTGTGATTTCTATAGCCTTGTTGCTGCGTAAATTGTTTTGGGGTTTACAATGTTCACATATTATGTTTGCACTAAGATTTGCTGGGAGTGATAGGTGAACATATCAGTATCATTAAACAGGAAGCAGTGTTTTGGTGTACATAGAAAACTGATAATACTCATGTTATCATTGCAGTGTTTTAATCCACTTTCTGAAAGAACTATTTGGCACTTTTTGATCTTCTTCAAATGTCTTTTTGATGTTAATGAAAGTAGAAGTATTTCTTATCTCATTTCTGTCCAAATGTTAGTTGAAACTAGGAAACAGATTTAAACATGCAGCAACATGGGACATTTGAAAGCATATTGAGGCAAATGGGCTCTCACCAATTCAATTCAAAGTCAACATAAGCTTAAGGAAGAAATTACTGTTGCTTGGAATGAACGTGAGATGTAAAATTTTCCTTTGGGGATCTGGAAACGAAGTTGTCACAATTTGCTTGATTGATAGATGCACTCCCAAGCAAACAATTTTGTTTGCTTCTGTATATTTTCCTGTAGTCCGTAGTAAAGCTGTCTCTGTCTTACATATTTAAAATGATTCTGGAAGATGACTGCTAACATAGACATTTTGCTTATACCACTGAAAAGCAAGTCTGTTTAAAGTTTCCTATATAAGCCTATTTTCCTTCTAAATTGTCCCAGTAACTTAACATTTGGAAATAATGATAAAAATAAAAGTAAATTACTTTGTATTTCCAGAACACTGTAATTTGGAGGAATGTTATTTCTGTTAAATGTAACTAATAGACTGGAATTTTCCTATGTTTGCGTCAGTGTCTATATATTAAGGTTACAGATACAGTTTTGCAGCTTTTATGAAATGGTCTTTAATATTTCAGCAATAATCCTATATGACATTTGTTTAAGAAAACTACTTTCTGTACACTTTTAAATTGTACAGGCTTTCAGAAGTCAGTAAAAGTTGGACCAGTTAATAAAAATGCAAAAACTTTTTTTGTAGAGATGTAAAAACAAAACCACTAATCTGTTGTATAATGGATTTCGTATTTTCTTTAAAAAAAAATAATTAAAGCAAACAGCCTTCATATATGACTCAACATGCTCTACTCCAGCTAATTGTGGAAGCCTGAATTACACAAGTTTACAGGGACTACAAGAAAAGTTTTAGAAAGTGCAGAAGGGAAAAAGTAAACCCAACTAGAGCTAGGTGTTGTAATCCAAGTGTACCAAACCATCATCATAATTTCTTCTTTTGTTTAATGCTTGGAAACATATTTTTTTCTGTGAGTGGAAAGTGGGAAATGGCTCGGAAGGATAAAAGATGCAAGCTCTTTATGCGAGATTGTGTTCTTTCAGGCGTTTACACCTTTATGTTCTGTAATAAGCATTTTGCATTACTATGTTCTTATTTTGTATGAACATGTTCTCCTTATTTATTTTTATTACATTTATTATGTATGTTATTTTGTTATATGCATTTACAACTCCATTTTTAAATAAAGTGTTTCTGGAACTTTACAAACGTGTGAATATGTAATTGAGAGCTTGGAAGTTTACACAATCTTCCTGCAGTCTAACTTAGCTTTATTGAAATAGGAAATTGTATTTTTTTCCTAAGTGCCTTTTCTCTAGAAAAAGTTGTATTATTGCTGCTGCTGCATCATTTATTCTGTGCTGATAGTATTGGCTCACTTTCCTGTACTCAGGTTCATTTCCACACTTGAATTGATTTTTGTGTGCAAAGCTAGAGGCAGAAGTAATCCAGTATGCCAATCACCAAGCAGTGACTCAGTTCCTTTCATTGTACAAAGGGATTAAAGTTTTAATGCACCTACCGGGTGCAATAGTAGGTGATTTTCAAAATGCTTTTCTTCTGCTTCATGTATTGGAAAACTTTATTGAACATTCTAGTTTGTTGCCTTTTTTTCTTCAACTCCATACAGACTTTCCTGATAGACACTAAATTTCCTCTTCTCAAGGTAACTTCATGCAAGAACTGTGAGTTTGTTTTTCTAAATAATTTCTACCCAGCTTACGCATTTTTGTGTTGTCAGGTTTTGCTGAGACTTGGGAGCAGCCAGCTCTGATCTTGCTTGTGTGCACCTGTTCTTTTTTATCCCCAGTCTGGTGGTATTAATGCGCTAATGGCACACAGTAACAGTCAATAGCATCAGCTCTAGAAGGACAGGAGATCTTTACTGATGTTCAGAGATGCCAGTTTGGTATAGTCAAAAGATATGAAAAAGTTACAAGGACTTCCCAGGTGTTCAGGGCTTTTTCATATGCCCCCTCTCATCAGCTGCTATTCTTTCCTTACTTGTTGCCAGATACTTCCCGGATTGCGAACTAAACTAGACAGCTTTAATTAAATACTAATGATAAAAGAAAAGATGTACAAATATATACAAGTGTGTGCAGGAATGTGCAAAGCCCTTATTGCCCCCAGCACTCTCCTAAGCTGTGAGCAGTTCTAAAATGTCCCAGAGCACTGCCAAAGAGAGCAGCAGAGCAGACAGAAGCTGAGGGCAGCGTTATGAGGGTCAGGATTGCACAGGGATCAATGGTAATGGGTAGATGAAGTCTTCCCTGGACACTGGCCATGAGCAGAAGAGAAGGAAAAGAAGAAGGGAGTTGACTTCTGTGATCCCTGAATTCATACTGAGACCTAGTTAAATACATGGATGGAATACTTTGGTTTGCCAATTTTGCCATCTGTCTAGTCCACTTTTCCCTAGGGGAGGGTTGTAGATAGAACTGATCTGCTCCTTTAGTGTCTGAAGAAGCAAATCCAACAAGTAGAGCAAAGTGTCCTTGGTTTCTCAGCAGTATCTAAGCATTCCAGTATTATCAGTCCACTAGCTGGAAAACTTGCTGTTACTTTCCACAAATGTGCTGTTTAAAACAAAGTTCACTGAGGGGGAAAAAAAAATCAGTAAGAAGAAAATTGGCCTTATCCTGGCTTAAACAAGACAAGCCATGAACAAAAAAAAGGGTACAGAGGAATGTGTGAAGCATTCTGTGCAAGAGTGTGTATAGTAATAGGAGACCACTCACTGTATGCCAAGGACACTTTGTACCACCAAATCTTTTGCAACTGAAGAGGACTACAGAGAAGAATCTTAGCTGGTCACCATACAAGTTGCTTAACTTCATCTTGATGAATTATCAGAATTTTAAAAGCACAAGAAGACTGTCATGTTTGACTTCAAGACACATCAATAAATGCTGATAAGGTCACAGTCCTGGTAGTTCAGCTGTGCTTGCCAGACACTACATAAATCTTTAAACTTGGTCTTGGCAGTGTTGCCCAAAAACAGTTACCTAATGCTAAAGAAAAGCATTTCCAGTTGCACTAGCTCAGTAATCTTGTAGAAACAATTTATGTTTTTAACTTGGTAAACCTTAACCAGTGCTGTTCCCCCAAGTGACAGTCAACAGAGAAACAGGGAGCATGGCATTTCCTTTTCAGATTCTTTTCTCACTATTCACGTATTTCCAGAGGAAAATACGCAGTTAGCAAACAAGTGTGATTATGCAGCCCTGGAAATACTATAAAGCAGGATAAGATAGCTGGAAACCTGCTGTCAAGGATCTTGATCTTTACCTTTTCCAGTAGGACCAGATTTAACAGTGAAAAAATAAGCTCAGTATTCATTTGTTCTTGCTAACAGCTTCATGAGCAGTTAGCATTTTGTGACGTGTTAACATTCTTACCTCACATCTGATGAGAGCTCTTAAAATGACAGGTTATTGAAAAATACCCTTTTTGGGGAGGCTGTATTAAATAGGAGTTAGTAGTTACTGAATATCCTCATGGGAACACAAGGCAACATTTTCAAGTTATACTTGCAAAACTTATTCAAGCGTTAGAGATGGAGTTGAGGAAATGGAGAATGGTTCATTTAAGAGATAAACCCTGCACTTTCACTTACCAATTAGTATGTCTCCTTGCTAAGTTCACTATCTCTAGTCCATCAGTTCCTTAGAACTATCATTCTTAAGACCTGTTTTAAAAATTAATACATGTTTATTATTTATAAGGCTTTCTGCTCCTATGGAGCAGTTAAAAGCACTCTCAGGGCTCTAGAGCTCTTTATATTACATTTTAAAAAAATGCAACCAGTTTAGCAGTATGACTTATCTCTCATGCAAACTTGTTTTTCTTAACAGAAAAAGCTGAATTAATGATAAGGATTTATTTAAATGTGCAACATGAGGTTTCTGATTTCTGTATGTCTGTTCATGTACACATGGACCTGTATGAAGCTAGGCACAAAGAACAAGGATTATGGGTAAAATTCTAAAAAGTTAGCAGGTGACTTAATTTTCCATTCACAGTGAATGAGGCAATGTTATTTATAAATATAAATTTATTGGCACAGTAACATAGATGTGGCTGTGAGTTGTCAGGTTATCTGTGATTTTGTTGAGAGATGAAAGAGATTAATGCAGATCATTCAGGAGCTTTTAAAAGTATTAAGAAATAAAATGCCTTCATAAAGTTATTGGAGAAAATGACGTAAATGGTATT